AGCTATAGAGAGAGAGAGAGAGAGAGAGAGAGAGAGAGAGAGAGAGAGAGAGAGAGAGAGAGAGAGAGATTAGGGTGCGCGCGCGTAGGCGGTTAGATGGGCATTTAAATTTTAAATAGCTAAGCGCAGACTGCGCGGTTTTTGCTGCAAATCCGTCGTCAACTTCTGTCAGCAGGCTCTGCGCGCAATCTGCTGTCAGATCATGTCAGCACACTCTGCTCGGTTTTTGTCACCAATATGCTGCAAAACATGTCAGCAAATATTGTCGCCAAATCCATTATAGCCAAATGCGGATGCAGATGGCTACGGTTTTGTAGTCAAGATTTGATCGAATTTGCTGCCAATTTGCGCGCAATTTGGCATCATTTTGCTATCAGGGTACTTAAAGCTTGTATTTGATGGCTGCAGCTTTTTGTGAGTATTAAGTTTAAAGTTTTCCTTTTCTTTCAAGCGTTTTACTGCTTTTTTTTAAGCTAAATATATTTGTGTTTAGTAATAATGTACAGTTTAGATACTTTTTCAGCACTTTTTCTAATCATCGTTCTGCTCATCAATGATTTTAATTGTTTTATGTTTTTCAGTTAATTTTTTCTTTAATATACCTCAACAATTGTTATAGAATTATCAAAAACGGAATCATTATTACATTCAAATATATTGGTCTAAGTGTTGACCTTCTCTGTTAAAGTAGACATTGTGTTACTTTTACCATCATTTATAGATATTTCAGAAGATACAGAATTATTAACTGGACAGGCTATGGATTACGGCGACTGAATAATTTCTACTGGCATGGACTTATTTAAACAATAATTACATAGGAGACACGGTATGTGTCTCGGTTAGGATAATTTGAAGATATTATGGGTGCTTTCCAATTAATGACACAAATCGACACAAGTATCGTTCTACCTTTGTTAATCTCTAAATGTCAAGAAAGATAGAATGATACTTGTGTCGACTTGTGTCATCAATTGGAAAGCACCCATTATTAATTGATTGGGACTGTAAACATATAAATCTGTAAACCACATAAGTAGATTTTCAGTAATTTCTTTATTTACTGCAAAGTTTCGAATAGAAAACACTTGTGATGGTAATATATAAACAATTCGAAAATTTATCGCATGTTATATAGCTATATATACAGTACAAAAATAAATGTTTGAAAACAAAGAACTTTGAAATGTTTATTTTTATCATACCACTCAGTTATTGTAATTGAAATACAAAATGAAATTATTCGCATATACATATATAAAATATTAAGGCGCGATTGCACCAATGTTATTTAGGCTTTCAGCGAGACATAAAACTTAATGATATATAATAATATAAAAACTAAACTTACTTAATACTATTAGTGCAATTGAGCCTGAGAGAATTGAATATATTATTATTGAATACATTAATTCTAAATTATACATATATACACTATTCAACAAAATTAAAGGATCACTTGTTCCACCCTGCAAAAATAGGCAAACTTTGAGATAGAATAACTTCATCAAAAATCATCGTATCGAGATGTTTAAAAAAGTATTTTAAAGCTTGAAATCTCTACTTTTCAGACCTATACTTCAAAGAACGGTCTTACTGATATTTCGTGAAGTTGCACCATCATAAATAAAAGTGTGTCAAACCTAAAAATTTTTTACAAAATTTGCCAAGTTCCACGGAGCCAAGTAAAAATTGTGCACAAATGCGGTTTACAACTTTCGAAAGAGTAAATCTTTACTTTCAATTTGTTTTTTTGCTGAGCTCTGTACGATTTTTTTTCACCGAGTTATTTAACGTTTAAGTAAAAATAGCCTTTTTATTTCAACGTTGAATAACTCGGTGAAAAAAAAATCGTACAGAGCTCAGTAAAAAAACAAATTGAAGGTAAAGATTTACTCTTTCGAAAGCTGTAAACCGCATTTGTGCACAATTTTTACTTGGCTCCGTGGAACTTGGCAAATTTTGTAAAACATTTTTAGGCTTGACACTTTTATTTATGATTGTGCAACTTCACGAAATGTCAGTAAGACCGTTTTTTGAAGTACAGGTCTGAAAAGTAAAGATTTCAAGCTTTGAAATGCTTTTTTAAACATCTCGATACGATGATTTTTGACGAAGTTATTCTATCTCAAAGTTTTTCTATTTTTGCAGGGTGGAACAAGTGATTCTTTAATTTTGTTGAGTAGTGTATTTTATATATTGCTGTCTGATTAGTAATTTCATATAATATTAAAGGAATGTTTGTAAGTGTTTATATAGCAAAATTATTTTTAGTTTAATAATATTTGAACACATTTGAATAGTGAAATGTTAATGTATTGTTTTAAATTTTGTGTGTGTGTGTGTGTGTGTTGTGTGTGTGTGTGTGTTGTATAAATATGTATAAATATGATGAGAACCATATTTAAAGTCAAAATGTTTGTTTATATAGTTTAATTGTATTTATTATGTAAATAATAATTAGCAAAAATCAATATGCTTTTTTGGCTCTTTTATATATTTGAATTGATTACAGCTTTTCTTATCAATCATTAATTACTAAAATTCCTTCCTTTTGTGTTTTTCAATTCTTACCATGCACTGCAATATAGGCCTGCCATTCACCAGTACATGAAAGCCATTCTCGTCGTGTTCGTCCAGATAGTGGATCTGCGCGTATACGAGATACAATCCTGGTTCATGAACAGTAAGTTTGCCATCGCCAGCAAGTGTGAAGTGTCTGCTCATACCAAGATCGGCAACCCACTCACTCGGCTGCCATGCCCTAAAAACGCCATTGTAATGTCGTGCCCTGCCGTTACCAGTGTGCTCGTCCTGCGTTGAAAAGAGACTGCTGTCCGCCCCGTAATGGATGGCGTAAACCTGCCGTGGTGCACGCAAATGTCTTCGAGTCAATCTCCGGTGATTTTCCCTTGCAGCCGCTTCGTGATTCTAATTCAATTACAACGCTCTGTGTTGTTCACTCGACTATTGTGAGAAATTTAGTGCACCGATTTTATTGACGCGGCGTAAAATCCCCCTTAACAATTATTATACTCACCTGAAAGATTTGTCGGATCTCAGTTTGATTTCTTGAGATATCGCGATTTCGCCAGCTAATTCTTCTGTCGTTTACAGTTTCCATGTTTTCACTTTCATATCTGTCAGGTTGAGTAGTTCCTTCGCTTAATCGATCATGGCGCGCCGGGGGAATCGTCTCTAGCGCATTGGAGTGATACTTCTTTGGGGGATGTCTGTCTCAGAAAATAGTTGATTTTTAACGGAATAAATTTGACTGAAAATATCAAATTTATTTATTCCTATTATATATATTTATATATATAATAGGAATAAATAAATTTGACAATATTTTATATATATATATATATATAGATATATACGTTACATTCGATCTCTTTCTACTTCTTGAACACATCTAATTTAATGTATCTACAATCGCCATATTGAACATTTTTAAGAATTATACTTATTAAAGATCAACGGTGATGTAAGGATTAAAAAAACGGAGCAGAATGGTATTGATATTTTTAAGAATTTTATTTTAAACAGAAATGTTTTTGATGTTTTGTTTCAAAACTTAGATTGCAGGTTGTACAAAAACAGGCTTATTAATATCAAAAGATATTTGTTAAAAAAGATTTTAAATTTTATCTGTGTATCATTCTTGTTAAAATTTTCTCACTCATTAAAAATGCAACTAGAGTGAGGTAACACATTTTACCAAGCTCACGTACACATATTGTGTGGTCCAAGCATTTGGTTTATCTCCCTGACTATTTTTTATTTTCGAAAACTGAAATTGCAGTTGACAGGCCAAAAAAACTCGATATTCTAGAGATTTAAACTACTATAATAGCTGTAATCTATCAACTAAAGGTTACAAACAAATGAATATTCAACAGTGCAAAGATTAAAAATGAGAACAAAGTAATATATATTGATAAGGATATTGTAAAGGATTATATTTTATATAAAAAATGTTTAAAAATATTTTTCTGATACGTTCTTTACATGATTTTTTTTGTTTCAATTTATAAATTACACCGTGTAAATACTTACGATGTTGGATCTGTCCCAAAATTGTCATTTGTGTTGTTCTCGTTGTTTGCATAAGAACGTGCTTTGGGTACAACAATTCTTCTAGTATTATGTCGTTTGCCATTTGCTTCCTCTCTCTTGAAATCGTCAATCAAGCTATCGTTCACCGATCGCTTCGATTTAATACTCTCTTTGATGTATTCTGAATTTGTAGCTCCTCTGGTAACATCAGGTTTGTGTCTAGTGCTGTTTGTGTCGTTCGTCTTTTTTTCATAATTTAATTGCTCTTTGTGTGTCCCTTTAAAGCGTTCTCGTTCGATATTTCTACATGCAATAAAAAATACTATTCAAAGTAGATAATTAACGTTGTTTGTCCACTGAGTTTTACATAAATAATACATAGTCGTGCCATAAATTTTTTTGCTAACAAGAAAAACGGTTACTAAGAAAATTATTTTATAATTAAAATAAAAAACAGCACGCGTATGGAATGTATATTATTTGTTTTATTGAATTTACTTATTATATATAATATAATAATAATGATTAAAAATTCACTCTTTTTGACTTCACAAATATTGTTGATTCGGAGCATCCTTAATATTTTAGTAGACTTTTTTAGCAACGGATATTATAGAGTGTTCAATAATTTAGCATTTCTCTATAAATTATATATATGATTCATTATTAAATGCTTAAATGGCAAGATTCTTTGTAAAATCAAAAGATGATTTTTTTAATAAAATAATGTATAGATAATATAACGCCTTACTTATGATTCTCTCGTATGTCCCTTTCGAAGTCCTGTCCGTGCTTCGCTTCTATCTTACGCAAGGCTGCCAGCAATTCAATCATGTCTTCATTGGTACCGGGATCCGGAGACGTAGGTATTGGTATCGACGTAGACGTACTGTCAAGAAAATCTGACGGTCTGATATTTTATTTTATGTTTAATTATCGCATTCTTACGTATTTTCTTTATCGTTTATTTCTTGTATTTCTCCTCCGCCTATATCATCTATTGCACAGGTACCTTGTAGCTGAAGTGGTGGGATATCTTTAGGTAATACAGTTTCATTGACGTTCTTCATTGGTATTTCTTGACAAAGATTTACAGACGACTGATCTATCACTTTTGTTGAAGTTGCATTATTGTTTATAACGAGACAATTCATTCCCATTAATACCGGAGGAATTATGGAATGGACTTTTCCAAAAATATCTTGCAGTTTGCTGTAAAATAATTATTAGAAATAATATCTAATAT